GTTTGTTAAATATGGCCGTCTGAAACAATTAGCCTTACGGGTAATTAAGTATTCTTCATTTAATTGAAATAAAGTGAAATGACCATTCTATGCATGCCAGCTTTTTTGTGTGATTAATGTGTCGTCATCTTGCAGGCATTGGCAACTACACTTGATGAGGAAGAGGTGGCTAATCTCAAAGATCAATTTGCTGCCATTGATGTAGATAAAAATGGTGTCATCAGTCTTGAAGAAATGAGACAGGTAAGCTTTCTTCATGCAATACTAAGGCTAGATCTGATGCTCTACATATTTTGTGGACAATTTGTTTTATTTCTTTTTTTATATGATATTTTGAGAGATCATATTTGGAGGTCTGATACAGGCTCTTGCTAAGGATCTTCCATGGAAAATGAAAGATTCACGTGTGATGGAGATTCTTCAAGCGGTATGTTAATTTGTGTTTTAGGATGGATTATCAGAGTTGGCATGTCCTTTATTTTGGCTTTGCGCCCACCTCTTCATTGTGGGATTTGTAGCATCATAATGTCCTTGCTGTTGACAGCTTGATTTTCATCCACTTCATGTTTGGTCTTCTTTATTCGACTCAACTTCTCATGTGTTATAGTAAGGCAGACATTAAATTTGGACACACTAGGGAGACATTCCTATGTAGCACAGGTTCTTTGGGTGATGATCACATTGTCTAAAATTTTCACCACCAATAGTGAATGTGTGTCACCCAAAAATGTCTCCCTAGAATGTCCAAATCTGATGTTCCCTTTGCATTACTCTTTTTATATAATAAATTCCTGCTGATCAGTAGCCAGGTGTCTGATTTGTAGATTGACATCAATACTGATGGGCTCGTAGATTTCCCAGAGTTTGTTGCCGCGACTTTACATGTTCATCAGATGGAGGAGCACAACTCAGAAAAATGGCAGCAAAGATCCCAAGCTGCTTTTGAAAAATTTGATGTTGATCGAGATGGCTTCATTACCCCGGAAGAACTCAAAATGGTTGGTGTTTAATTCATTTTTTCCAGGATTGACTAATACCAAAAATATGCTTGCTGTTTTTCTACCTTGAAAGATTACTACAACCAGCCCAGCCCTCCCCCACAAAAAGGAGAAAAACATCAGACGACTAGAACTGGAAGTAGAAATTTTCAGGGATTCTTCATTGTTTTTGGCTAAAGAGTTGGGTTAGAGTCCCACATCGGGCAAGTTAAGAGGAAATGATGGGGTGGTAAGACCTTGTGTTGAACTAGCTAGACGATTGGATTCAATCTTTTAGTGTGGTTAGACCCAAATGTCTTATAGCCCAGTTGAATGACTCCAACCCAGTCCTAAATTCTATAGTCTAAAACAATGCAGTTTTTAATATTCATAAACCAATATCTATGATAAATAAATAACAAGTGTACCTTTGAGGTCCACGTCGTTCAAACATATGCATTTGTTTTATAAATGTGTATATGAAAAGAGAATATATTATATATACATGAGATGCTTTTTGGGAAATGCTGTTTAGTAATCTATTTGCAATATGCTAATATCTTGCAGTACACGGGGTTGAAAGGTTCCATAGACCCTATTCTAGAGGAGGCAGACATCGACAAAGATGGGAAAATAAGTTTACCTGAATTCCGTAGGCTTTTAAGAACTGCAAGTATGAGCTCCCATACAATTTCTTGCCCCTCCTCTGCCAAATCAGGAGGAATAGGCTCAAGATGAGTCTCGAAGTGAAAAAGTTCGATGTGGGATAATGTTGCTGCTGGCACCGGGGGGACGCGCCTCATGTTTTTACATACCAGGAGGACATTTTTGTGATCTGGTCATTGTTGTCTACCTATTTTTTAGCACTATGCAGTCTTCCTATTAAAAGTGAAATATGGGATTGTGCAGTGAATGAGTAAAAGTTCTGTTCACCTGTGTGTCTAAGGTAAGGGTACAAGTCATCTTGGTTGCTGGGTAATTATTCGCACTGTTTTTCCACGTGTAAACCACCACATTTACCATGTTGGACATAACAACGTTTGAGATTACCTTGGTGGTGTCATGTTCCATCTTGTAAAATTCCAAACTAAATAAGAAGAATAAGCTTTTCTTCTCATCTGATGTACTCGTATTATCTTTTTTTCCTTGTCGTCGTGTGATACCTATTGCCTGAAACTAGTGGTGGACCCGGTTCGGGCCACCCGGCCCGTGAACCGGCACGGCCCGGCCCACTACTGTGCGGGCCCGGGACCGGCCCGGTCTGGCGGTCCGGGACCGGGTGGTGACCCGAACTGGTGGGATAGTGGGGGGCGGGCACGGGTAGGGCAAATGGGGACCTGGCCTGGCCGGTTCAGGAGGGGGACGAGCCAACAGTACTGTAGCTTCTTCATCTCGATGTTTCTGATACATCATGTTCTATGTCACGCCTTCACTTTCGCCAACAATCACAGATGATCTTGAATCTAGATCGGTTTTAGCTTTTAACCCCATCATACGTTCATGACCTTCACTCGATGATGTCATCCTCCCACTATTGTTGACTCTGTTTCTTGTTCGCAACAAGAAAACTCGTGGCAGGAGAAAACTCTAAATCGAAGAGCCGTCCAATCTATCAGATCGACGGAAGAACTAAAACCCTAAGTAGAGGGACAAACGGCCACTTAAATGGGAGATTAATAAATCATCAAGGTTGAATACCAAAGAGTATGGATGGACCCGGGCCGGTTCGGGCCCGGTTCGGGCCTAGGCCCGGCCGGGCCTCGGGTCTGTTTTGTTGGGCCCGAGCCCGAACCGGTGGCCACCGGTTCCGGGTCCGGTTCCGGGCCGGGCCGGTCGGGCCACCCGGTTTAATTTTTTTTTTTTTCCTTTCTTCCCCCACCCCCCCCCACCCCCCCACCCCCCCAAACCCCCCCAAACCGGCCTAAACAGATAGCCCAAGCCCAACAGCCCAAAACAAATGAAAAAAATTAAAAAAGGAACCGCCGGGCCGGGCCGTCAAAACCATGAACCGAGCCCGGAACCGCCCCACCCCCGGGCCTCCGGCCCGAACCGGACCCGGACCCGGATAACCGGGCCGGGCCGGGCCCGCACAGTAGCGGGTCGGGCCGGTCCCGGGCCGGGCGGCCCGAACCGAGGCCATGCCTACCAAAGAGCTTTGCCGGCTACCGCGGCTGGACTTTGCCGAGCGCCAAAGGGAAAGAAGTTTGGCAGAGGTGCCACACTCTCTTACCCTAGCACTTTTAATATTGTTTCTTAAATACTTAAATTACACTAAAATGGCTTTTGAGAAATTATTTCAAAGCTTCTATTTTTTTGCAAAGTATATATTATTACTTAGAATTTTTTACGCTCCATTGCTTAATCTATTCTCAGTGATTTTTGTGACCATTGATCAGTGACTCCTCATTTGAGGTGCTTCCGAGTTGATTTTTTGGGTGAAATTTTGTTATCATGTTCTCAATGTAGGTTAGATTATGTCTACCAATTTCCCCCAATTCAAAATTGATTTCCTAATTAACAGGGCTGTCTTTTGAATTTGGAGACCCCTGTTCAAAATGAAATTTTGAGGCCCCACTTTTATATTAAAAAACTAAAAATATTCTCGATCTAAATTCTTATAATACTTAAATCAATTGAATGTAAATTAAATAATGCAATTAAATAATTACAGGTAGTAATCCCCCCTCCCCTTCAAAAAAATAATCTGTACATTGTTTTTTGTAAAATATTTCAATTTATGATGACATTATTATACAGGGTAATGGAGTATTGATTTAGCTCCAACCCATATTCATATACCATAGTAGACATTATTATATTATATCATATCATATCATATCATATCATATCATATCATATCATATCATATCATATCATATCATATCATATCATATCATATCATATCATATCATATCATATCATATCATATCATATCATATCATATCATATCATATCATATCATATCATATCATATCATATCATATCATATCATATCATATCATATCATATCATATCACATCACATCACATCAAATCATAGTTAGTTAATTAATGATAGTGACCTAAAAAAATTCGACTAGTGCCTTATAAATATGGGGGGAGCATGGGAAGTGGGACCATGTTCTGTTTAACCTAATTAACATGCTAAAAGACGGTCTTGCTAATTAAGTAAATAAAATGAAATTATTTGACTAAAAATGGACAAATTAATTTGGGGCGGAGGTAGTATGTACTCTCTCTGTCTCCCTTATATTGTCTCATTTTACCTTATCGAAAAATCCCCCAAAAAATTGTCTCATACCATATTTGATAAAGTTTGTGTGTCTCTAAATCATTCTTAATTTATTAATTAATATCAACCACACAAACCAACTTTTCTTAATAATCGTGTCATCCTCTTCCGTTCCAATATAAGAGGAACGGAGGTAGCAGTATGTTAAAAAAGACACCAAAAAATAAATAAACAAGGGCGGCAATGATCATGTAAAGTAGGCCTAAATGTTACTATTGTTAAGGCCTCTTTTATTTAAGGTACTTCTGGATCAAAGTTTTTGATTATATTTGTGGGCATGTTCTCCATGAAGTGTAGATTATGTCTATCAAATTTCAAATTAAAACTCAATTGGAAAATCAGTTAAATAAATTATTGAAAAAAACTGCAAGTTATATATATATATATAACTGCACAATTTAAAAAAAAACGCACTTCTCGATTAAATTTTAAGCTCAAATTTGCTAGACATAATATATACTTCACGAAAAAAATGCTCACTTCCTCAAAAAGTTCATTTCGAAAGCATCTCAAATAAAAGATACTATCTCCGTCCCACTAAGATTGGGAAAAGAGGTGGAACGATTATTAAGAAAAGTGAGTTTGTGTGGTTGATATTAAATTGATAAAGTAAGAATAAAGTAAAATGACTTAGAACCACGCAAACTTTACAAAATATGGTATGAGACAATCTTAGTGAAATTTCCCTGTAAAATGCCATAATGTTAGAAGTATTAAAAGTGCAACTTGCAGGCTCATTCAAACCTTGGACCTCTTATCCACACTCATGCCAAGTGCCAAGCCGCCATCGCCCAAATATCCTCCACTCGATCTTTTTTAACACAGTCTCAGTCCCACCTTCATTTCTCACTCTTCTCCTGACGATTTGTTCTCCTTACCGTATAGACTGTAGTATTGTTTTCCTCTCCAATTATTACATCAATGGCTACTGCAGTGAGTGCTGCAGTGTCTCTTCCTGCATCAAAGTCGGCCTCTCTTGCTACCAAAACCTCTATTATCTATCCTGAAAAGGCCTGCTTCAGCAAGGTACACTTCTCGTCTGAATTGGTAGCATTCCGTCCTTTTGGCGTATTGTTTATTTAATTAACGTTTTTTTATAATTCCAAAAGGGGATTTTGGGTTGATTTGATTGGTTTAATCAAAATTTGCCTCAAGTTTTATTCTTTTTAGTTTCTTTTTCCCCTTGCGACCTCATTTGTTTCGATAGATTCATCCTTAATCCGCTCTTTGCATCTTTTCATAATAAGAATAATAATACGTAATAATTGTAATGATGACGATTTGAAATTCTGACATGGAAACTGACTTGTTTCAATTAGGTGCCTTTTTACTATAGAAATGTGACATCTGGTGGGAAAGGGAAACTGTTATCCATTAGAGCTCAGATTACTACTGAGGCTCCTGTCAAGGTTGAGAAGATCTCCAAGAAACAGGATGAGGGTATAGTTGTCAACAAGTTCAGGCCCAAAGAACCATATGTAGGGAGATGCCTTCTTAACACCAAGATCACTGGAGATGATGCCCCTGGCGAAACTTGGCACATGGTCTTCAGTACCGAGGGTATTATTGGTCTCATAGTTAATGTGTCATAATTTACATTTCTTCTATCCACTTGTTAAATACTACCTCCTTCGAAAAATTCTTCCCACTTACCTTTTTGGATGTCCCAAAAATTCTTCACATTTCCCTTTTGGAAAGGTTTGTGTGGCTACCATTCATATACTTTTTTCTTACTCAAGCCCAACCATACATTTCCACTTTATTCCCACTTTCTTAAAATCAGATCCAAGTCAAACCAGGACGAAGGGAGTACTATATAAGTGTGTGTATACTTTTACTGTACTGTAACTATTCCTGTAGTTTGGTATGGTACTATGGTTTGGTTTTTGTCCTAGAACTGTATGGTACCATACTATTTTGAGAAGGGGCTGTCCCACTTCATACTAATGCTAAACCGTACCTATTTTGTTTTACAAAACAAGGGTTCCACACCAAAGAAGCTAAACTTATTCAACATTCATTAAGTAAACAGAATTTAACTAAAGTTTGCCATCCATCATCTCATAAGTTATCTTAGCTAGACATAATTCAGAGTGCTTAACACGACTTAGAGACTCCTAGATTAACTCAAGATTACACGAAGCTAATAAGTTCAAGTTCCATAAGCTTAAATCCAAAGCAATTTAAATTTATTCAGTCCGGTCCTAGATGATCGGTTCTCATAATTCAGAACCAACCCTGTACCCTTTCTAAAAGGTAAGGTCTCCAAAAATTAATGAAACCGTTTGATACCCCTCTTTTTTGCTGGGTAGCATTTCTGAATTCTGACTGCTACGGTACATTTCAAGTGCAGTAATGTTACCCTCCCTTAGATTAAGGAATGAAAAGTATTAAAATAAATTGTATACCCTTATCATCTGCCAATCCCAAATCAATAATAAGTTCCACATTTAGAATCCTTATATGTATCATCAAATTCCTTGAAGAATTTGGATTAAAGGATATAATTCATTGGCTGATGTCTGTTCCTGGTTTTGTTAGGGGAAATCCCATACAGGGAAGGACAATCAATTGGTGTCATTGCCGATGGAGTTGATGCAAATGGGAAGGCTCACAAGTTGAGGTTATACTCGATTGCCAGCAGTGCTCTTGGCGACTTTGGAGACTCCAAGACTGTAAGCTTAAGTTCTTTTAATCATAACTGTTTGGCATATTAAAGTAGTGTATAGTTATTTTCAATTATTGGGAGCCCTTGTTTAAATTTTAGGACTAAATTTGTAAAAGTTAAACTTCATAGGACTGACACTGGACAAGGTCCAAGATCTGGGACAAAAAACTACTTCGTTTGAATTGCGGGCTACATTGGCAAAGTTAAACTTAATGAAACTAAAACTGAACAAGATCTAAATTATAGGATGAAAGGAAAGGATTTTTTCAATGCATAAGGATGCTAGGTCTATAAATGTGCTCTTCTTTTGTATGATGGGAATGGATGGATTTGAAATTTATTATTCTTTGTTAGGGACCCGGCCCAATAGAGTATAAATAATAATAAGTGTACAAGTTGAGTATAAATAGAATAAGCTTGGGCAGGTAGAGTAGGCTGTTTTAGACTTTGACTTTGGGACTTTGGGAAGATCGAGAACTTTCTCTTTCTTTGGGGGGCTTCGGCTCATTTTGGGGGCTTCTGCCAGAATTATCTCTTCTACTTCTGTAATTGTTTTCTCGTAATCAATAAAGGTTCATCTGTTTTCGTTGATCTTTGTTAATTTTGTCTGGAAATCTGGAGGTTCTTATCATTGGTATCAGAGTGAGTAGATCGCTGGATGAGAATTACGCGCGCAACGATGGAAGGAAGAATTAACGAAGTGGAGAGGAATATGGTGGATTTCGGAAGAAATCAGAGAGAAATGCAAGCACATCTGGACAGGAGTATGCGAGAGTTGCAGATTAATATGGCGGCTAACATGGCGGAGAGTTTGGCCGCAGTGCAAGCGACGATGCAAGCAACGATGCAAGCCAACCTTGCTGAATTGCAGAAGAAATTTTCCGATCGATCGAGGAGTCACTCACATCGATCGAGGAGTCATTCGCATCGGTCGAGTACTTCGCATCGATCGAGCACTTTGCATCGATCAAAACATCACAGGAGTTCGAAGAAGGGTGACAGTTCAGACGGTTCAGACAGTTCGTCTAGCCATTCAGCATCCCGGCACAATCACGATCACCATAGGTATCATCGAAATCATCATCCGATAGGCAGAAAAATTGATTTACCTCTTTTCAATGGGGAAGATGCCTTCGGTTGGCTGGTTAGAATAAACCGATATTTCCGCTTGAATCAAACTGAAGAGGAACAGAAAATTGATGTCACTGTAGTGGCTATGGAGGACCAAGCTCTCAGCTGGTTTCAATGGTGGGAGAGGCAGGCGACGCATCAAAACTGGGACTCTTTTACTCAAGCTTTGACCAAGCGATTTCAACCTAATCTGGTACAGGATCCGCTAGGGCCTCTGTTTAGCCTGAAGCAGAAGGGGACAATTCAGGAGTACCGAGACAAATTTGAAACTGCTATCGCTTCACAAGGACACTTAACTGAAGAAGTATTGAGAGGAGTTTTTCTTAAGGGATTAAAAAGAGATATAAGAGCAGAATTGAAGTTACATCGTACTAGAACGTTGGCAGAAGTTATGGATACTGCTTCCGCGATTGAGAACAAGAATTCTGAAACCTTGTTTGTGAAGAATAAGGATGAAGGAAAGAGGAGAGGGCAGAATAAACCTAGCATTCCAAATTCCGGCCAGAAATGGGGAGAAGGGAGTAGATGGCAGAGCTTAAGCCACCCTATTGCTAGTGTTGATAAAGGTTCAGGGGATTCCAAGACTAGGGAGGAAGGCATAGACCTAAACTTCAGAAGGGAAGGTCCCAGATTATCCCAAGAAGAACTTTTGGATAGAAGCAAGAAGGGACTTTGCTTCAAATGTGGGGAAAATTGGAACCGAGGTCATGTCTGCAAAATGAAACACTACAAAATTATTCTTGTGGAGGATTCTGGAGGAGAAAAAGAAACTGAATGTGTCAGGAAGGATAACAAGGAGGAAGATGAAACTGAATTGGAATTCAGAACCATGCAATTATCTTCAATAAGTAAGGAAGAGATTCCAAGCATGAAAACATTCAAGATGAAAGGAGAATTGAAGTGGAAATCTGGAGAAAAGAAGGTTGAAATCCTTATAGATACTGGTGCATCCCATAACTTCATTTCTCAAGAGTTTGTGAGAAAATGGGAGTTACCCTACCGTATGATAAGAAGATACTCTGTACAGATAGGTAATGGAGATCAAATCACCAACAATAGAATATGTGAAGGGTTGGAATTGGAACTGCAAGGGCTGAAAATACAGCAACCTTTCTATATGCTTGAGTGGAGGGGAACAGATATGGTGTTGGGCATGGACTGGCATACAAGCTTGGGAGATACTGAGATTAACTTCCAAAATCAGACCATCAAATTGGAGGTTCAGGGGCAGAAGGTAATCATACAAGGAGATCCTTCATTCAGTCAACTGGGAATTTATAAGGAGATGAAGAGCCTGGTGAATAGGAATGGAGGAGGAAAATTGCTGAGCTATCAAGGGTTACCTACTGACATTGAAGAAGAGAGTGTTCAAAAGCAAGAAGTTGCTGCCCTCTATGTTGCAGCAGGATGCACCTTAGCTTCCAAAGAATCTGAAGGAATCAAAATTCTGGATAACGTAGTCTGGCATATGTATAACTCTGCTGTGAAATACATAGGGAAGAAGATGGAAGCTGCAAAGCTAAAATTCCAGCAATCAATCCAGTATTGGAAAGGGAGAGGTGCTAGGATGAAAGAAAAGAAGAGGATTGTGGCTGTGTCCTATCACCCACCTTGAGGGCAAGGTGGATGTTTAGGGGGGGAGAATTGTTAGGGACCCGGCCCAATAGAGTATAAATAATAATAAGTGTACAAGTTGAGTGTAAATAGAATAAGCTTGGGCAGGTAGAGTAGGCTGTTTTAGACTTTGACTTTGGGACTTTGGGAAGACCGAGAACTTTCTCTTTCTTTGGGGGGCTTCGGCTCATTTTGGGGGCTTCGGCCAGAATTATCTCTTCTACTTCTGTAATTGTTTTCTCGTAATCAATAAAGGTTCATCTGTTTTCGTTGATCTTTGTTAATTTTGTCTGGAAATCTGGAGGTTCTTATCATTCTTTACACAGGTCTCTCTTTGTGTTAAAAGGGTTGTCTATACCAATGACAAGGGTGAAGTAGTTAAAGGAGTTTGCTCGAACTTTTTATGTAAGAACTAAGAAATTGATTATGCTCTTTGGTGCATAGTATGGCAAAGATAGTAGATCGCGGTTTAACATTTTTAATGTTTTTCTATGACGGGTATGTCAGGTGACTTGAAACCCGGGTCTGAAGTGAAAATTACTGGACCTGTTGGGAAGGAGATGCTCATGCCCAAGGATCCCAATGCCACTATTGTAATGGTACGTGGCAGCAATAATGTCTTACAATGTCCAGATTCACATTGTTGTTGAGTAGTTTTATTATCGGAGGATGTTTAGCATTGATTATGTTTCTGTTTTTCTTTAAATGCAGAATCAGACTCTTTAGCTGTATGAAAAAGTGATTCTTTTTTCAGTGTTTGATGTTCCTTCTCTTGTTGCAAGAGAGAATCAACTTTGAGTGTTTGAATAAATTGTTGTTTAACACACACATGTATAAACGGACCAAAAGGGTATATGAACTACACACACATGCAAGCTTGATATGTAATCTTTTGTGAATAAAAGATTACATATTCAATAAAATGTTGTGATTAGCTAGTCTTCCCTGGTTTCTTGAAAATTGATTCTAGAGGACTCAGAGGAGCAGCTTGGAGTTGTTAAAAATGATTTCGGAGCTTTATCCAAAGACTCCAATATTTGGTTCTGTTTCTAAGTGCTCTCTACACGAGCAGAATAAGTTTCTAGAAGTAGATCCACACACACCCGGATCAATTGACAATGGAAATTATTGTTATGTTTGATTTTTGCTTATTTTGTATCTCCTTACAGCTTGCCACTGGAACTGGAATCGCCCCTTTCCGTGGGTTCTTGTGGAAGATGTTCTTTGAGAAGCATGAAGAATATAAGGTAGACCACCAACAGTATATGTCTCTTCACTCAAACAAAAGGGAGTTGATATTTTTCATCGATCAAAAGCTGATTGAAACGTTAAAGTCTGCTGAAACGAAGACTTAGATCAGACAGTAAAATACTAATTATGCGAAAAAATTGAAATAATGACAAATATATGACCCAAAACAAAATAGTTGTCAGAATTTTGACTTTTAGCACCAATGACCATATTAGTTCTAGACTTCTAGTGACTACAAGTGATGTTCAATTTTAAGGTAGAGTGAATATGCTATATTTTCGGAGCAACTATAGTGACCTTGTAGTCACTTAGTTTTCCATGAGTTCTATTTTAGTTACTTAGTAGGAAAAACCTTGAAAACCATTTCGAAATTTTAAAAATTGAAATGAATAAAATAAAATAAAATAGATATGTAGTATGTTAAGGTCGTCTACTCAGCTGACCCCTTTATGATCAGTACTCAGTACTTCTTTAGTTTTGTACCATCCTGATTGGCTGCGGGGCTATGCAGTTCAACGGCTTGGCGTGGCTTTTCTTGGGTGTTCCCACCAGCAGCTCACTTCTTTACAAGGAGGTAATTTCCACTACCTAAACAGGGGCCAGGGTGGGGTCAAGACTGTCTTTCACTCTTTCTTTTTTTATACGTAGTAATAATTATTAAGTATCTATGTTTTAAAACTGACCCCAAAATCTTTTGGGAATAAGGCTTGGATGTTGTTGTATCTATGTTTTAAAATCTGAAAAGCACATTCTGCAACTTTTTATTGTAGGAATTTGAGAAAATGAAGGAGAAATGTCCAGAAAATTTCAGACTAGACTTTGCTGTGAGCAGAGAACAAACAAACGAGAAAGGTGAAAAAATGTACATCCAAACCAGAATGGCACAGTATGCAGAAGAGCTCTGGGAACTATTCAAGAAAGACAACACTTTCGTCTACATCTGTGGACTCAAGGGTATGGAAAAGGGAATCGACGACATCATGACTTCACTTGCTGCTAAAGATGGTAAACATTTGCAGAAATGAAGTGATTATTACTTTCCTTCAATTATTGCCACTATAGCTTTTATATACAACAAACATTCAGAAATGTCCCTTAGGAGTAAAATAATGAGAAGTTTCAAAATATGAGTACTATATGGTTTCCCTAAATAGAAGTAATTAATGCCATGTTTTGAAAAATATTGCCAATTTTGGCACTAGTACGGCCATTTTAATGCTTGGTAATGCCAAAATATGGCAATATGATTTTACGGAGAATATTTTTCTCCTATTTAGGGGGACACAGCCAGGGGCGGACGTGCTTTGTTCAAGGGTGTCAAGCGAACATCCAAACATTTGAAACTAAATTGTAAAAATACATTTATAGAATTGATATAATAATTTATATAATGCATTTTTTTATATAATATTTAACCATTAACCTTTTTTGCTAGTTTTTTGTTGAAAAAATTACATTTCTTCAATTGTGGGATCAAAAAATATTATCGTGCAATATTTTAACCTTGAAATTTTTTTGAACACCCAACTTCCGGTTGCAAGATCTGCCACTGAACACAACTGTCATATTAGAATTTCCCTTTGGTTTCTCTTATTTCAGGAAATTTCCTAATAACATTTCTATCCTATCCTTGTTACCTGTCCTGTTACGTTATTAGTGACTATTTTTTCCATTCAGGAATTGATTGGGTGGAGTATAAGAAACAAATGAAGAAGGGAGAGCAGTGGAACGTCGAGGTCTACTGATTTTTTCTATCATGTATACAATTCTAGCCACCTCTGGTGTGGGTTTCTCTGCATCTATGTAGATAGATAGCAACTCTCTTGTAATCCTTATACGGAGTATTTTCTATTAAAAGTTTCCCCTTCTCCGGCTTGATCTTCGTTGCTTAAATAAAATGTTTACTCTTAAATTAGGCTAATTGAGAATGTTTTAATTTTCAAGATTCCCGGAATCCGTTTTTTAGGAGTAAGATAGGGCTATAAATTTTGATACTTCGGCTATGTTTGGTCTTCTAATGCAATGGAGTGAATAGAATATGTAATGCAATAAAAATGTAATGTTTATCATGTTTGGTTAGCAGCGGGAGACCTGAGAATAGGAAAAGGGTCTAGATTTGAAAGGGAAAAATTCATCTATCGGGGGAGAGGGAGCGGTTAGTTAGGAGCCTATCAAACATTTTTTAGCTGGTTTGACCATGTTTAGCATTTTGACCGCTCATGTCATTGCCGCCACTGTCCATGTCACTATCGCCACCGCACGTGTCACTGACACCCACACCCGTGTCACTGATGCCTTGTCAAATGTCAATTTTAGCAGTTACATCTCCGCAGTGACAACTCCCAAAGTGACACACTATTATTCCAGCCACAGTTTTTCCGGCGAGCACCAATCACCGCCCCCAGCCCCTGCAACTGTGCGACATTCCTCCACCACACCACACCTCCAAGCCCCAAAACATGTCCCAATCGCGCCTCCATCTAACCTAGCCGGCGAGTTGCCGCTCAGACCAGAATCTCCGATCTGCTTGTAGGTAGGCATCATATACGGGCGTTGACAACTAGCCTCGTCCACCGCAATAGGCCAAACATCTTTGATAGAAATCATCGTTGATCTCCATGACAGAAGAAACTCCGATTTGTTCCCCAGATTCATCGCCCCATCAGTTCGAATAGAAGGAGAAGAGGTGGAGAATCAGAACTGTGACAGGAACGATGACTTACCGGGGTGCACTAGCAGGCTGCTCTGGCCGGATGGGGCCTGCGGCAGACTGAGAAGGAGGCTGCTCTGGCTGGATGCAGGGGTGCGGTGGACTGAGAAGGAGGCTGCTCTGGCCGGATGCAGGGCAACGGCGGACTGAGAAGGAGGCTGCTCTGGCCGGATGCAGGGCTGCGGCGGACTGAGAAGGAGGCTGCTCTGGCCGGATGGGGGCTGTAAAAGTAGTGTAAAACAATATCTTATTGCAGTAAATGCTACATGCGTTTTTTCCAAACACTGCCATAATACAACTATACAAGTTCTGTTTTCCCCTATTTTCTTGAAAAAAATTCTTTCTTCAACATTTCAGCAGACGGAGCATGACCAGGCATAAAGCTCAACTGCTCAACCATAAATACATGAAACTTCTAACATCTTGGAAGGACTAAAGCATCCAACAACTCTAAAATGAATATTTTCAAAGTACAGAAAAAATGTGAGGAATACAAAAATCTACTGGATTTCCTCCCTCCATGAGTTGGACCTTTTACCATCTTATTCTGAGCAGCAAAGGATAGCAGTGATCCATCTCATAATTCGGCCAGGATTCATCACCATATAGAAATCTCTGGTGACGCCTCCAAATTTCAGCGTCATAATTGTTTTCTATGGTGAAATTCAATCCACTGCCTATAACTTTCCCGAGAAACTTGTCCAATGAATCACCTCTTTTCGGGCAAAAAAGTAGAGCTTCTGAGGGGCTGTCTTTCTTTAGCAATGATTTTATGGTTTCAGCCAGAGCTTCATGGAATTCCTTAAAGAAAGTGCTGCAAAAAAAACAGAGATTTGGTAACAGTACAATTATATGTTACATAGGAAAGAGCGGAAATGGCTATTAGGTCCAAGCATCTCAGATAAATAAAGAGATGCAATTAACATTTCAGAGTTCAGACTGTGTAAATAAGCTTTAGTTTGACATATAAATACAAAGCTCAAGAGGTTTAAGCTATCAGCTCACTGAATCGTTAAAAGGAAAAGGTAAAAATAACATGTTACAGTTTTCAAACTTAGATGCAGTGTTCCTATTTGTATGCCTAACCAGCAACAACTCAATGTGATTAATTAAAAATAAATAATCAACATTTTTTTAATAATTCTCAATGAAAACTGGTGAGGACAAAGAGCAAGTTACTCATTTATAAAATACATCCAAATATCCGACATGCACTCAACTCCCTCAAGCAGATTGTTCAAATACAAGACGTGGGTAAAACAGAATGAAGAATTAAATGTTAATTACCAGTCACTTGCAATAATGAAATCAAAGGTATTGGAGATATCCGGTACATTTTCCTGACCCCAATGTAGAATCATTGACTTAACCACTGTACCGCCAAACATGCCTGAATTGGTGCTTACATTACGTTGTATATCTGAATGTTTAGAATATTCATTAATCATAAATTCTCTGCTTTAGTAGATAACAAAATGAATAGCCATAATTTCAGGGTTAGATTTTATCCAGTAAATAGGTGACACGACGGATCTGTGTGTTCACAGTTTGTTTGGTAATCATAAACCTCATTGTTGTAACAGTTGGGCTCTTGTTTTACTCTTAAAAAGTAGGAGCTAACATTGCTCTCACAGTAATTCGGATACAAAGGATACAATCAACAACTTGAGGATTCCCATCAGTGATTGCCACTTCTAGTGCATCTGTGGCTACTGCAACAACCAAGCCAGCTATGCCATATCCTGCTCCAAGTTCAATGACTCTTTTATCCCTAAAAGAGTTGACAAGTGCAAACACTGGCGGAGTAAAATTTACAATGATAAATGTTTGAAAATGTGAATCATAACATGATGTTCAGCGGTTTAAGAACCTGAACATGTCAGCATGTAACAAGCAGTAGTAGGCAAGGACATCCTCAGACGGCCATTGACCTATCCAACAATAGGTAAATATACCATCAATATGACCACTCTTTGGCACTAGTATCCCATACACTTGTTTTTTAAAGAAAAAAGGATATGAAACATTGAAACTGGTACCTAAAAAAACAATAAATTTGAAATTGCATGAGATGAACACTTGTGTTTCAGCTATGCACTAGAGTTGAGACTCAACCCCCTCCAAGAGTCTTGAGTTTTTTAATCTGAAGTGACCATGAGAAGTGAGGTTGCTGTTCCTAAGAAACTCAATATAGACCCCCCCCCCCTACTTGCAAGCTCTCTAAATAAAGAAAAGTTCCTTGGCAGACTTCATCATATCAACCACAAAACTCCAAATTAAAAATTAAAAAAAAAAAAACCTATTTGGTGCGTCTTTGGATAAAAATATGTGGCTGCCAAAGGCTTCACTACTTCTGTACATACAGCACCCATAATTATCGTATTATAAATCATACTGGGAATCTTTGTATCACTTCTCTGATTGTGAATTAATTTGAATAGTGCGGTTCAGAAGCATATTAGTAGTACACCTCATAATTCATTTTTAGAAATAAAATATGAAAAATTAGTTTCAGATGATCAATCTGGACTCTCTGTTTGAAATATATTACGTAGTATATTGTTTTGAATCTCTTTTGGTGCTGAGAGAGGACTTGATCCCTATTTTAGTAAAGTGATGGTTTATGTGAGACAGCACGGCTCCACTTGTTTCACTTTAAAGCAACACTCAACTGCATTGTCCATGTAATTAGCTATTCCATGTATCAGAGAATAGCAAGTCCTAATATCCCAAAACGTTTCTTATTTTACTTTTTATTAATTGTTCAATAAAGCGACATGTCAAAGAAGAAAGAAAATATTATTCATGGAGTAAAATTAAAATGTTTGCATTTGTCAGAGAAATTAATGATTTTCTGGTTATAAAAGTAAGACACTTACAAACAAGCCCGGTGTTGTCAATATTATATCTATTACAGACCTCAAAGTCACTGAGATCCACAATACCATTCACTCTTTGGCTGCATCGCGGATCCAAAAGTCAGAAACCAGCATTGCTAAACAAGAACTACTGAACATATCCAGAAAAGCAGATCCACACCTTCAATTCCATTTCGAACACTAAAAAATGATGCTTTTTTATGCAAGTCATAAACAGAAGGTAAAGTATATAATCATTCGTCACAGATTGTACATTTTCAAAACAAAGAGGGCATAGATGTTAGGAAATACCCTCACATCTCACGTCGGATTTATAAGAGAGCTCATTTCCAAAATTAGATAAACAGAGTGGTTCTGAAGTGCCCATTCCTGGCAAATGAACTTATAGTTTGACTATTTTAGGCTTCTAATTCATATTAGAATGAATTGAATAAAGGGAAAGCATACAACCTCTTTAATTAAGAATATAAAAGAGACAAAATACAAGTAACACCAAGTCCTTTGTAACTTTTTAGCGTTCAATACAATGCACTCCAAAGTCCAAAGTCCCTCCATGCCAAAAGGAAAATCAAATGTTTATAATACTCCGTACTATTTTTAGAATTAGAAATATACTCGTAGCTCTTTTCAATTTACAGAACTAGTACTCTAATCTATCAAATCATAAACCGGCCTTGAAGAAGAAGCGGGAACTCCTAAGTTAAAATAGGTACAAGTGAAAATTAAATTACCAAAAGGACAATAGAGAAGCAATATAACAAAGATGTGAATATGAAGCCTAACAAGGCAATAAGCCAATAGCTATGAATAACGACTCAAACGTCAGAATTTGACTTGCAGACTTACTGCAGAGTAAGTTGGGGAGATTTGGGAAGGGGCAATGTGTAACAGAAAAGAGCAGAGCTGCCCAATGCGTCTTTTCGTGAGAGAGAATCAGAAATTTCTTCCACTAAACTGCAGGGTATCAAATTGAAACCACGAGTCGCCTTTCTTGATATTTGTGCAATGGCCATGTCGGATTGGTTATCTGTGAAGAACTCTGTTAAGCACAGCATATTATGGTACATACAAGTCTGTGTTTGTGAAAGAACCTGGGCGACGAAGAAGCGCGCGGCGAAGGATTTGCCAGCGGAGTGTTGAGGACTTCGTCCCATCCATGGATTCCCCCGCTCCGATTGCTTCACCAGTTTGGATAGATCAAAGACGTGTGCATTTTGCATCGATATATTTATGTGTCTTATTCTTATTGGTTAATCCAATTTAATTAAAACAATTAAATACTCCCTCCGTCCCCTTTTAAATGGGATGGGAGATGGTGGCACGGGGTTTAAGAAAAGTGAGTTTGTGTGGTTGATATTAATTGATAAAGTAAGAAATAATGGCACGCATATCACCTCCCAGCTTTTATTAGAAAAAAATATAACCGAATTGTGTTTTGACCAAAAAGTGACCACCGTATAATTCTTCTTCTAAAAACCCCTTCGCTTCACATCCGTTTCTTCATTTCTGCTTCGGCGCACCACGAACCCCAGGAAGGACCTTCGCACAAGGAAGGTCGTTGACTCCTCGCCTCTTTCGCTCCGGTCTCCGCCGCCTGGTCCGGTCGCCGCAGTTTTCGTCGACTGCAATCCTTTGATCTTCTTCTTCTCCTTTCTTCTGTTTGGTCTCTGCCGTCGTCCTTTTCTTCGTACGGGCATCTAGATTTTCCGGTTGAGGGTCGGTGGCGGTGCAAAATCGTTGGGGTGGCGATTGGGCTTTCGAGGAAGCGGCGGTTTCCAGGGGCAGCTCCACCACCGTTTCAGGTGTGCAGAAGCTAGGGACGGCGCTAGATCGGGGCTATTGGGGTCTGTTCAACGCTAGATCGGAGCTGCTCGGGGCTAGATCTGGGCGGTTAGGGTCCGGTCCTGGCTAGATCGGGCTGGTCACGGCTAGATCTAGGCGGCTAGGGTCCGGTCTGGGCTAGATCGGGGCTGGTTAGGGCTAGATCGGGGCTGTTGGGGTCTGGTCTGGGCTATATTGGGGCTGGTCGGAGCTGGGTTGTGGACAGAAGAGGGGTGTGGGTTTGGGGGTGCTGGGGCATGGGCTAGGGAGGGGGAGGGCTGTGTATGATGGCGGTGGCGGTGGGGGCGGCGGCGGCGGGGTGGTGTTGCCAATGGCGGGCAGATTTGGCTGAAAACTATAACCTATGTCACTGATCGGCTGGCTGTACCAGTGTCACTTTGGTTACCGTCACTGTGGTGGTGTCACTGTGACCGGCGACGGTCTCCGGCCGGCGGTGGTGTCACTGCGGTGGTGTCACTGTTTCGATGTCACTAGTGTCACTGTGGTGGTGTCACTGTGACCGGCGACGGTCTCTGGGTGGCGGTGGTGTCACTGTTTCGGTGTCACTATGGCAATGTCATCACAGCTAGCCGGTGGTGGCCGGTGGTGGCAGTGACTGGCGGTGGACGGTGTGGCGGTGTCACTTTGAAGGCGTCGCTATGGCGGCGTCACTTTGAAGGCATCACTACGGCGGCGGCGGCGGCACTATGACGGTGTTAGTGTGGCGGTGACGGTGGCGGTGTAATTGGCGTGAAAAAATTTGACAACTCTAGTTACAAAAAAACGAACAAAGTGACACGAGCGGTGGCTACAGTGACACGTGCGGTGGGTACAGTGACACGAGCGGTGGCTACAGTGACACGTGCGGTGGCTACAGTGACACGAACGGTGGCTACAGTGACACGAGCGGTGGCTACAGTGACACGGGCGGTGGCTACAGTGACACGGGCGGTGTCGTAGTGACATCATGTTTTCTAATTCTACATATATGATCTTCTTGATCACTTTTTTGCCCCTTTTTAAAAGTAGTCACTTTTTGGATAATTGGTTCAAAATTAGTAATATTCAAGTAAAAACCCCAAGTAAGAATGATTTTGAGCCACACAAAGTTTACCAAATAAGGTATGGGTCAATTAAATAGGGACATCCCAATATGGTAAAACGGGACATTTAAAAGGGGACGGAGGGAGTATAACACATTAATTAATTAAGAAACCGTAGGAGAGAAAAAGGTGGAGGAAACAATTTATTTAACAAAATGGTGAAAACGTAAACATGTAAACATTAAAAAATGATGGAATATAAAAACATAAACATGTACCAAAATTTAATTAAAAGATTTAGTTATAACATTAATTTAGAAACGATCAACCCAAAATAATTTAGGTGATGGGGGTCATGGGGTTGTAGTTTTTGTCCCTAGGAGACTTCCTCTTTTTTCTCATCCGCACCAGCCATCTTGAGCTGCCCCCTCCCGGGGGCTACGCACAAGATCTATTGGAGACAAATCTCAGAATTTCACTAAGTCCATGATCTTGGACCCCCCGGCAGCTAAATGGACCGGAGGCCCAAGGTATCCTCACCCCCGAAGGTTCACTACAACATCTATTGAAACTTCGTGGAAATTTGACCAAGTCCACAAATGGGAACCCTTCGGTGGGAAGACATGCACTCCAACACTACCAACACGCTTACAACCGAAGGAAACTTCAAACTATTTAACAAGGACCTAAAACTACACTGAAGCTACACTACAGCCGAAGGCTCGATCCCGCCGGCGGCCTTGGATGAAATTAGCTCGGAAAGCTTCCTAAGTTTAATTCATTCTAGCCCTCGGTCCAGCTACTATGACCCAGGAGGCAATTCCGACGTTTCATTGCCGAAGGCATGCAGCGGATTCTCACTTAGAAAAATCTCTAAGTCCACAACTACAAGCCCCCGGTTGGTTACGACTTCAACCGAAGGCTCGTTGTAGAGTTTCTTACTTAGGAAATTTTCTAAGTCTAGAAACACGAGCCCCCAGCTGACATACTCTACAACCGAAGGCTTTGGAGAGAGTCTTCACTTAGAAAGTTTTCTAAGTCCACAGCTTCAAGCCCCCGGCTGTCCTACACTACAACCGGAGGCTCTCTGCAAGGTTTTACTTAGGAAAATTCCTAAGTCCACAAACTTGTGGCCTTCAAGCAAACATTCATTCAATTCATCAAAGGAAGGAAAGCATACAAACGAAAGGAAGCGAAGGTAAACACAAATCAAATGCAGGAAGCATTCATTCAGAAAAAGCCCGAAGGCAAAACATTAATCACCATAAATATACTAAGTACAAAAGATGTTTGTTTACAATTGGCCGAAGTCGAAGTCTACAAGTTATTACAAATGGTACTTAGAAGAATTTCAAGCTTGAACACTTGCAGCCCCGTCCTCCTTTAGCTTTGAGGCGACGTCTTCCCTGCCCTCTTCATCGTCATCGTCATCACCAGCCTCCTTCGCCAGCTCGGAATCTTCGAGCAACTCTCTTTCCTCGCCTTCGGGCAGGGGAATCCGGACATCTGGCTGAAGTGGGGGGAGGCCGTAGGTTTCGGGGTTGAAGTCCTTTTGGTCCACGCCGAAGTGCCGGGCAAGCTTCCGATAGATCATGGCTTCAGTAAAATACTCGCCGCCTTCGTAATAATTCTTCCCTTTCAAAGCAAGCCATAGCGCTCCGGGGCCCTTCGCCCACCCATCTACTGAAGCCTCGATGACCGAAGCCACCCATTGCTTCCGGTTCTCATCCTTCCAGCCTCCGGCGACAAAGGCATCGACGACATCTTTCTCGGCTTGAGCGACGGCCTCTTTCCTCGCCTCCTCGGCCATATCAGCAGCGGCGAGCTCCTCTGCCTCCGCTTTACCCTCGACTTTACCCTCCCTCCGGGCATCCTCCAACTTCTGCTCCATCTTTCGGAGGGTCTCCTCCAAGGTCGCCATCTTCCGGATGGCCTCGGTGTTAGTCGCAACGAGCTTCCTCAAAGCCTCGTCGGACTCCGCCTTCTGAAGGCGCAACTGTTCCACCCTTCGGATATGTTCTCCGAGGACTACACTGGCCTGCGGACATACAAAGAAAAAGCAGAGGGTCAGACCACTACACCATGGAAAGACTAAACGACTAAGGGAAGAAAAATGGTGAGACTTACAGTCACCGAGGCCTGGAGAAGCTTAGCGTCCAGGGCGGGTCGTCATGCCGGCCGAGGGTCGATCTATCCAGTGAAGGAGTGGTAACGTTCAGGATCCATCGGATCCAGGGTGCCATGCATGATGGCAGTCCCTTTCTTGATGGAGAATTGGATGTTCTCCCGGGGCCAAGGCCCATCTTCCATCTGATCCGGAAGAGGTACAGGAACAGTCACCACCACCAGGGGGGTCCCCGAAGAAGAGTGGCCTTCGGAGATGACCAGAGGAGCGTCCTTCGCACCGACGATCTTCTTGGGTCTTTTGCCGGGAGCTACATTGCTTTTTTCCCGACGCCTTTCTTTTTGCCGCTTCGGTCCTCAGGGCGCCAGCACCCTCGACAGCAACTTGGGAGGCCCCCTCGGCCCCCTGGTCCTTCACAGCTCCTTCCCTCTAGAAGAAATCTTCGACGGGCCTCTGCTGGGAGGACCCCTCCGCATTCTTCTTTTTCTTCGGCTCCTTAGCCAATTGCTTCTTGAGCTTTGCGAAATTCTTCGCATCCATCTCTGCACCTGAAAAAGAAGGAAAACATACGAAGATTAGTTACACGTCAAAAAAAAAAAACACAAAGGTATCCTAAGTACAAGACTAGGAGCCTTCGGCAATCACCTCCCGCACTCTCATACACCCTATCTATCAGAGGGTACTCGTCACCGGTCTCCCCTATCAGCCGGAATCGCCGGAAACCCAGGCGAAGCAGCTCCTCCGGAAGAGTGGCATCCTTGATGGTCTTCTGCTTGTCCGAGCCCTCCGGCTTGGCTACCAGCTTCTTCCCCTCCTTCGCAAGGAAAGCATTCCCCACTTTCGGATGCCTCTTGAAGTTGTCGCGGAGGGGAGCAGGGAAAGGATTCTCCCCCATCCGAATGAAGCAAAACTTGTCCTTCCACCCTTTGTGGGAGGAAGGAACCTCAGAGAACAGCCTCCACTCTGAAACCTGTTGAAGATTGGCAAAGCCCTCACAATTGGCGTGCCCCCCCCCCCCCCCCCCCCCGGCAAAGGTTGAATGAAAGGAGAAACTAATCCAGCGAGGCCTCCACTCCCCTCTCCCGGCACAACGACAGGAAGCCTGCCAAGTAAGAATGGCTGTTTGGGGTGATCTGGCAGGGAGCGAGCTTGACGAAGCGCAGATACTCCAAAACAAAGGGATGAAGTGGGAACCGAAGGCTCAGCTCCACAGACAAAATGTGCACCGCGAAACAGCCTTCCGGAGGGTGTTGGAGC